GCGGGAAAAACAGTGTGCAACAGAGGGACAACATGAGCACGTTGCTACAAAAGCGCAGCCGTCGGACACAACCCTTCGTACGCCTTCGTGGTTCCATTGCGGCACTCTCCGACAGTTAACTTCGCTTAAGACGGATCGTAAATTACGCCAATATTTCCGCGAAATCCTAACAAGATTATAAACCAGATTGTAGCCGTCTATGCGGCGGTTGCGGCGGTACCGTGCGCGGCTCCCTCTTTTCCTCCCGGGACCTTTCTTAATCTTCGAGCCTCTCGACCGGAGAGCCGGAGTGAGAAGTCGAGTAATGCGAAGAAAAAAGGAGGGTGGCGAGAGCGAGAGGGAGACGAAAAAGGGGGAGAGAGGGGTGAACAGAAGATCTATTTATAATGCGTTTGCGTCTTTGCAGGGGCCCAGCCGGTGAAGGCAGTAAATGTCACGTGTATTTCATATGAAACTCCACCCCCTCCCGACAGTTCCTCGCAATGCCAATCTCTTTTGCCGGCCTGATAATGCCAAGCGCTAACAAAGTTAACCCGCGCGAGACTCTCTCTCTCGCCTTCAGAAAACTGTTTCTCCCTCCTCTCCCCCTCGCTCTTCCCCACGCCGGACTCATCGTTTCGTTTGTCGATCTTTGCATCGTGAAGGATTCTTATTCTTCCATTCTTCTGCAAACGAGGTGTGTACGTGCGCGGCACTGCTGCATCTTTATGAAAGATATTTCTGCCATACTGAATTGCAATAGAGAATTATTATTTGATCGTACCAAGACGTCAGAGGACGAGGAGACAACGTATGATTTTACGCAGCAACGTAAACCGCAAAGCCGCAAATTAGCTCGTCAAGCACGCGCTGAGGAGTAACGCATCAGCTTTCAAGAAATTTAAAAAAAAAATCTTTTCAGGTTATACTCTGCAATTTGCGAATGAGCATAAAATATATTGACCGCGTATTGACTCCTCGATTCCTCTTCCGTTTGTCTTCGTTTTCGATTGATTTTTTATCAACGTGAGCTCGATTCGAGGACGCGCGCTGAGAAGGATTGAACCTTCTTGTTTAAACGGAAAGAATCGACGCGGAGACGCGGAAAAGGAAAAGAGGCGCACGATTTCGCAGGGGTATATTCCACCGGCGGCTTATATCCGATAGATTCCGGGGCCGTCACGCGAGATTCTGGGAAAAGCCGTTTCGCGCGTCCGAAACCCCCTTTAAGTGCGCGGAGCCAGTCTGCAACGGCGGGACGCGCGATATGTGTTCGTGCGTGTGTGTGTGTGTGTGTGTGTGTGTGTGTGTGTGTGTGTGTGTGTGTGCGTGCGTGCGTGCGTGCGTGCGTGCGTGCGTGCGTGCGTG